AATCTGGTAAAAATAAGAGAAAGTGGTAACATATATATGTCTAAAAATTTGATTAATTTATGAATATGATTGGTTTGTCTTATTTACTTGTCAACCACCATAGATTTAATTCTCAAATGTATATAATAGATTTCTCTCAATTACTTTTAAGTTTTGGGGCATCCCTGACGGAGCGGTGTCGCCCGCAAAACACTTTGTTAAGCGTGGATATATTTTTCGTGATGCTCTTCTCTGTGTTGTGCTATCTGTCTTTCTACTTGACAAAGGTTTATAAGCCTTAATTGAGCACACAAGACTACAAATGTATGTTGTACCAATAAAAAAAACAATACTTTTAAGTAGAGGGCCGGGATAGCCTGGTCGGTAGGGCGCTGGGCCCATATCCAAGAGGTCGTGGGTTCGATCCTCGCCGGCCGAAGACTCCCCGTGTAGTAAATGGTGACTGATGCACGTTAAATCTGTCGAGTCTCAAAGTCCTCCATGTTCCCACAACAAATCAATACCTCTGGGGGTACTGATCCAGGAGTTTCCTTGTCTTCTGGATTGGTTCAAAATTGCAAGGCTACGGAGTTGAACGTAAGTAGTCGTAAACCCATGAAATTGGGTCGGCTGTTCAACGACGGTTATAAAATAAAATAAAATACTTTTAAGTAGAATTTGGGTTCATGCGCACAACTGGTTCACTTTTTTAGCAGTATGCGCAGACATGCCCCAGATGAACATTTAAAAGGCCAATTTAATTTATTTTTATCACATAGCAAACCAAACTAAAAGTAAAGTTGTAAAATGTGCGAGACTATCATTTTAACCTGAAATAAAAAGCTGTAGCAAACCACGCATCAAAGCAGTTTGAAGTTTTCCGATTTTCGCAACCTCTTCAATTTAGATAAAATTCATCTATCACGTATCAAACTTCTATAGAAGATGAAATTCATCTATAAGGTATCAGACTTCTATAGAAGGTAAAATTCATCCTTAACACTAGGTTTACGGCTGTTTCTTATATACCTATCTCTACGAACACACGTCAATTTGACGCATGAAAGAATACATATTATTGTGATTCTTGATTTAATAAATTCAATTGAGTAGATTTTTATCCACCACTATTTCTAAATAATTCATAGGCTTATATAATTCACCAATTCAGATTTGCAAAATTTAATTAACTGTTATTCACTATTTTTTAAAATTATTTTAGCGTGTCCGGAGCAGTTGGCATCTCTGCTCTTAGAAACCAATGTAATTGTATACTATAAGAAAAAAATGAAGATATGAGGTACATATTTATGAAATATTCTAGTACTTTATGTTTGAATACTCGAACTAAGCAACTGAAACCTTCAAAATCAGACATCAATTGCCATTCTGCGTTTGTTCTTTCTATTATTGATTATCGACAACAGTTGTTTATCGCTTGTTTTATTTGAGATAACGATATCGGATAACGAATCGAAGTATTGTCGGTCCATTCCTATTTATTATTGATGTGATAATTGCTTGTTTACTCAAAATTTTGTCTAATTTATGATCGCGTCAAATTGACGCATATCCGTAGAGATAGGTATACCACATAGAGAATTTCAATATTTCCACGCTTTTGAAGAAAATAGCCTTCAATATATATTTACTTCGATCAATGGTTAAAAGTCATTACAAGAGAAAAAATAAAAATTCAAACGGATTTTATAGTTTTCGTTACAAAACTCGAAATGCGTTAAAGTGACCCGTCCCGTAAACCTAGTGTTAAGGTATCATCAGACTTCTATGGAAGATAAAATTTATCTATCTAGCCCCAGTATTTTGTTGAAGCTGGGTATATGGGCGGCAAAGCGGTCCTTACATATATATCCCTGTCATCATGAAATATTAGTAAGCAGTGTGGTTGCTTTTATTTTATTTCAAGCACTTTGCTTGAATAAAATTTTAAAAAAATCGGTAGAGAGCCACAAAATAAATTTTGTAGATTTTCGGTTAATTTTGCCAAATTTTTAAAGGGCACAACACGCCCTGACAGTAGCAAATCGTTGTATCACATAAGTCTCAGAAATGGCCGGGATAGCCTGGTCGGTAGGGAGCTGGGCCCATGTTCGAGAATTCGTGGGTTCGAACCCCGCCGGCCGAAGACTCCCCGTGTAGTAAAGTGACTGATGCACGTTAAATGTGTCGAGTCGCCAAAGTCTTCCATGTTCCCATAACAAATCAATACCTCTGGGGATGCTGGATTGGCGATCGATCGTTCTCTGATTCAGGTCAAAATTACGATTTGTGATGAATGAATGGATGTATAAACGGGTGCGACGTATGGAGTTGCAGAAGACGAATTCTTGGTCATAGATGGCGCCACTGAAAAACAAGAAACTCACACTCTGCCTTAAATTTTCTCGGCTTCACCAAGCAAGCTTGCCCGTGGGCAAGTGGTCTCAGAAATAATTAAAAGTATAGCGAGTATAAAACCTCTCAAAATTATTTATTAGCTATTTGGAGCAAGTTAACATCTCTTCCTAAAACCGAAGTGGTGCATTATATAAGCCTTTAAGTTACTTAAAAGTAGTGGTAGGTAAAAAGCTTATGAATCGAATTTACTAAACCAGGAAACATACATTAAAACACTACAACTCGAAAATATTTATCGGCTGTCCGGAGCAAGTTGGCATCTCTGGATTCTTTGAATTTTATAAAAAAATATTTCTGTGAAAGGAACCTTAGACCCTTCAGAGACCACTTAAAAGTAGATTCACGTATATTTCCAAATATATGCTGGTTGATAGGTATTAGCTAAAACAATGTTTTTCCATACAACTTTTTTTTTAAAAATTTTCCGGTTGTGGCCACTCTATATAAGCAAGTTAATGTAAACTTTCAATACATTACACACTAACTCCCAAGGGCTTTAAGACACAAGGATGTAGCTTACACAAATATATAAGTTTGGTTAGAATAAAATCACAAATTTTTTTTAAGAGCTGAATTTTCAAATATTTTACATGCTTTGAGATTGAATAAATAATGTTTAAATTGTATGCATGAAACAATTAGCGAAAATAGTTTAGTTTGTCCGAAAATTCCGTTAAACCAGACAGCAATTTATGACTACCTAACGCAAAGATGCCAATTTGCTCCGGACAGCGGATAATCATTTTCGAGTGGTAGTCTTTTAATATATGATCCTTGGTTTAGTAAATTCGATTTAAAGGATTTTTTCTCACCATTACTTTTTAATAATTCAAAGGCTTATGTGATATGCCAGTTTTACCAATACCTCCTATATCAGAAAGCCTCCACATGGTTTCTTATAAGTAGTCTGCGCAGATTATTTAAAAAGTGAGCAACTTTTGCGCCTGATCCCAAATTCTGTTTTAAAAGCACTTGAGAGAAATTTATCATATATGTTTGAGAATTGAATCTGCAGCATACCTGCCAATTCTTCCGGATTTTCCAGAAGATTTTTTTTTCATATTTAAAGTGGTAGCAAAACTTATGTTATTCCAATTAACTTTTAGAATTATAATGATAATTATAAATGAGTTTGACCACCACTACATAAAAATAATTACAATAAATATATAAAAGCATAATAATCCTTGATCAAGCGAATTTCAACGGAATAAAAATATAAATATATTTTTGAGNAGTCAGATTGTTTTTTCGTTTATTGTTTTACAACCACTCTGAAAATCCATTCTCGGAAAAAGTGAAAGTTGGCAGGTATGCTGTAGTGGTTACCAAGTAAATAAGACAAACCAATTATATTCATTAATTAAACAAATTTTCAGACATATATTTGCTACCACTTTCTAATTTTTAATAGATTTCATATTAAATGGTTCCTTCTTAAATTGGTTTACCTTCATAGTGGTCTGATTGGACTACCTACAAAAAACCGTGTGGAGGCTTTCAGTTATAAGAGGCGTTGGTTAATAACAGTTGGCGAATTTAACCGAATATCTGCAAAATTTAGTTTGCAGTTCTCTACCGTATTTTAAAGCATATTATTAAAACATGTAGGCATCTCTGCTAATGTAACCATTTATTTTGGAATAATATAAGAATGTATTTCCTATTTCAAATATCATAATATTAATTCTTCAAAAAATTAAGTGGTCACTGAATCTTATTTAACAGTAATTTAAAGGAGCAGGGGTGATTGCTGTTTCCTTTCTGGCATTATCGAGTCATACTGAATGCATAGTTGCAATCTTTTCCGGTTTTTCCGGTAGATTTTATTTTCATATTTAGAGTGGTAGCAAAACTCATGTATTCTATTCAACTTTTCGAGTTATAATAATAATGATTATAAATGAGTTTCACCACACGCCATAATAATTAAAAAAGCGGTATTAATTACAAAATAAATTTTGCAAATACTTTATTATTTTTTGCTTGCTTTTAAAAAGGTATAGCATGACTAAAGTACTAAAAAAGTGGTGATTTATATAAGCCTACGATTTATTTAGAAATAGTGGTGGATAAAAATCTACTAAATTGAATCTATTAAACCAAGAATCACAATTGATAAACTACCACTTTAAAATATATATTTGTTGTCCGGAGCAAGTTGGCATCTCTGTAATAGTGATAGTTTGACGATTAGGAATTCCAACTTGGGTAAAACATAAATGCAGTTTTGAGCACGATCGCTTTTCGGAAATTGTTTGACTACCACTTTGAAAATCCATTCTCGGAAAATTGACACGGACGTAAAGATTTAAAATTAAATAGCAGAACTCCAACTATTTGAGGCTGTCGCGAATTATCCTTTTTTTAGTGGTAGTGAACTAAAGCATATATTTTGAAACAAACAATATGACACAATATACATATCTGTTCAAATTACTTGAGTTTAGTAGTTTACACAGTTCTTTTAATTCTAATTTATTAAAATATAAATACTAGCTACCAGTGGGCAAAATATTTTCTAAAACAACGGAGAATCCGTAGTAGTCGGAGTCTCAGAGATAGTGAGATTTAAACAGCGAACTAAATAATGTCTGTCTTACTCTGGATAATTGCGCACACCTTTGCAGACGGTCCGACCTGTTTCAGGACAATACTGTGGTCCAGGAACAAACTTGTGCTTTGACTGGGGTTTCGGAAACGTGTAGTCTGTGTAATAATAACTGCTGCTTGTGTAAGCTCTCCATCTTGGTGGACTACACACAATGAGAGGAATACATAACAGAACAGCAACTATCTGGCCAACCTATGAACAACAAAAAAAAAGGAATTTATGTAATTGGTCGTACAGAATTGTTAGTATAATCATTCAAATTCGTTTATTGTTTATTGGTACAATATACATTTGCAGACTTGTGTGCTCACTTAAAACCTTTGTCAAGTAGAAGGACGGATAGCACAATACAGAGAAAAATAGCACTAAGAGACATCCAGGGAAACAGCGGGTTTCGAACCTTCTACCGCTTCACTCAGCTTTTGGCGGGTGATATCGCTCGACCTGAAAGGGCCTTACTAGTTGTAAGTAGAAAGGCAATCTCAAATGTAAGGCATCATTTTTTTGTAAATAACAAAAATGTTTCTATATAGACCAGTTTTCGCGTCAAAAAACTTAGTGAATGCGGAAATAATTAGAAAAAAACTGAAAATTGCTCTAAATATTGCGGTTGTAGGCCAGAAGTTTCCCTGTCCCTCAAGATGATGTCCTTAATCTGAAAAAATCCTCCGTTTTTTTTTGGGGGGGGGAGGGAGGGCTGATATAACCTTGGGGAACGCTTCGAAGATACTAAGAAGAAAGTTTCTCAAAACGAAATGAAATAGAGCAGCTCTGGTAAAATCAGAGATTTCAGAATTTTTGGTAATTTTGATAATATTTGAAAAGCCTCATGGCGAAAGAACTGGACCAAAGTGGCGTTGCATATGATATATAAATCATAAATAAATCTACATAAATCATTTATGTGTAGTGTTGTTGAAAATAAGTTGAAATGAATAAAGAATAATACAATAAAACATTAACTTTGCTTCGAGTAGAATAAATTTTCACAAAAAGAGTTGAACGTTGTCACTATTGCATTCACTCTTTAAGAAATCATGAGACAAAATGGATAAACAATTTTTTTTTATTCCGGATAATGCGTTTAAAATAAAAATAGATAAGTAGTTAACCTTCGAGTAAATCTAAATGATTTTAAGTAAATTTAAAATATATAAAATATTACTTCAAATAAATATTTAACAGTAACATTTTTTTCATACTCATGCTTTAAAAAAGATAGCGTATTGTTTCTCGCTCGCTTCTGATATATTTAAGAAATATTTATTAGTGTTGAAGAGAAGTTATTTAAGCAAAGATATTAAACTAAAGAAAAATATGACTACTTAATTGTTGCAACAACTGAGAAACCTTTCAGTATAAAATAACTGTAACGTTTAAATAACTTAACAGTAACGTTTTAAATGATTTATGAGCTCTCAAAACGTGTCGACGTTTTCGACTGAGATAATTCTTGAAACAAAGATGTTTTTTTTATTATGAAGTAACATATTACGCAGCCAAATTTCTTACAATAATCAATTTTCTATGCTTTTAGTAAAAATTTATTTTAGTGGCAGCAGAGTTAATGTTTTAAGGCGTGGGTCCCCAACCCTATGCAAGAGGGCACCATAGCGCCTGTTTATCGGTCTTGGTGCACCTGCTGCTCGTGCCCAACGATAAAATATTTTAGTTTTCCATTTTCCCAATAAATTCTATGAAAAATTTATGCTATGCAAATACATACTGAAGTACGCTGGCTCAGTAAAGGCAAAGTACCTGATAGATTTCTACATTTAATTGAAGAAATAAAAAATTATCTTGATGCCAAAAATCAAACATTTCTAGAACTAAGAGATCCTTTTTGGCTAGCAGATTTGTCTTTCATAACGGACATAATGGAAATACTAATTAATTTAAACTTGGAGCTGCAGGGAAAGGACAAAGACATAGCAAATATGATGGAGGTTATAAACTCGTTTCAGAGCTAAGCTTGTTTTCTGGATATCACATTTGAAAATGAAGTCTCTTGTGCATTTTCCAAACTTGAAAAAAATGATAAGTGACAGTGAAATTGACTTATCAACATTTGTCATCAACTTCCAATTGCTTAAAGATTGAAAAGCACAATTTAACATCATCGAGCATTTGATAACCTTTTCTGTTAATCCTTTTACCAACCAAATAAACGTAACCGTAATAGCAACATACAATTCAGAATTTCTTCAAGAAAGGCGAGAAGTGGAGATAGAAATTGTGGATCTTCGGAATAACATTATCCTCAAAACTATTATATCAGATGAGAAATTCTGGAATCTAGTTGAAGGAATAAATTCCATTCTTAAAAAGAGCAGCGCATTAAAAAAGTAGTTTCTTGGTTCCACATACTTGTGCGAATCATTGTTTTTGACTATGAATATCATAAAATCAAAATATAGATCCCGACTTACAGATGAACACCTTCACGATTGCTTGAGAACAGGAATTTTATCATATTCTCCCAATTATGAAGCGCTGGCCAGCGAAATGCCATGCCAAAGACCACATTGACTGTACTTTAAAAATAATTTTTGTACTTCGTATTTTTAAAATCAATTTAGTAATAATTTATTTTACCCAAGAATACTAATACTAATTATATTCATATGTTAAATTAATTTTTTTTAATTAAAATTTTCTGCATTATATGTAGTGTGTATTATTACCTATGTCTATCAACTATAAATTTATCTTGAAAAAATAAATGGTGCCCGCCATTTGACCGATATTCTGGTATTTGCTCTTAGGTACAAAAAGGTTGGGGACCCCTGTTTTAAGGTATTTTCTATTTTCTTTCTTAGTCATTAAACTTTTTTTTATCCATCACTGCTTATAAATTACTTAAAAGTTTTAAAAGTTCATATACAACGCCACATTTTCCAAAAATTCTGAAAGCTATAGTTTTAAAATGCTACCACTCTATAAAAAATTTCGTAAGAAACATAGTTGTTGACAAGTATAAGAAATCTTTCTGAAAACATTAAATCTACCACTTTTTTATATAAAAAAGAAAATTAATTAAATTTTTTCATAAACTCACCCAATTATGCCAAAGAACAATAAAATAGTTAAATCAATGCCAGTAATATGCTGGTAAGAGTGAAACTAAATTAAGATTATACCAAGGTTATTGGTGTTGCACTAGCGTCTAGCAAATGAACTAAAAGTTAATGCTGTAACAAAGAAGCGCCTTCCCTTAGTTCAGGCTTACAGGTAGTAGAGATGGGCAAAACTGCTACTTTTCAGTCACTGTTACTTCTGCTACTGGGATCCAAAAGTAACAGTGACAAATAGCAGTGACTGTTATTATTTCGATANTCTCAAAATTATGTGACAAAGCGAAGAACTTGACTCGTGAGGTGACGCTGTTATGCTCCATTCCTGTCTAGCATTCTACTAAATCTAGCATTAAATAATAGCACTCCTCTTTACAGTTTTATTTTTAAATATGAAAAAAGTGATGCAAATATTAAGAAATATTTCGCTAAATCAAGATAAAGTACGGTTAAATTATCAAAAATTAGGTTAGTTTCAATTCTATGTTGTCTGTGTTGGTAAAAGGAAGAAAAATCCAACTTTCCTATTCCTTCGAAAATTACACGAGCTACATTATCTTAGGGGGGAAAAGACTAGTTATTTTGATTTTTTTAGGATTGACGTTACAAAAAATGTGTAAATTGCATTGTTTTACTAGACTACATTATCTGCAATTTGAGAATAACTCAAAGCTTGTAGCTGTAATACTTCTTGAGATAGAGCTCTTTCAATTTTCTTATTTTTTTCGAAAAATATTAAAGTTTCTTAGTTTCTGGAACTTACTACTTTCAGAACTACGTAAATTACTACCACGATAAATTTAATCACTTTAATGATCGAGTTGCAACAAATAACTGACTGAATATAGACTGAAATACAATGGTGAGAAGAGAATTTTAAAATACGTTACAATTTATGCATACATAACATGTACTTAATATACATAACATACAATTTAATTTGATATTGCATTTTCATCCAGTTATATTTCTTTGCTTTTACTCCTTCACAATGCAGCTGATAATCAATCTTTATATTTTGTGATTGACCTTTTCGCTCTTCATTCAAAATAATTGACATTATATTTTTGCAAAGATTGTTTGTTTCAAAATATAGAACAGTGTAGGCCTGCTTTTCTGTATCCGCATACATTCCTGCAACTCTTTTTTTTCCTCTGGGGGTACTGATCCAGGAGTTTCCTTGTCTTCTAGATTCTAAATTACAATACAGAGTTAAACATTAGTGGTCTTAAACCCTAAATTGGGTTGACTGTCCAATGACGGTTATAAAAAAAATAATAGTGAATAGGGTAAACCAACCAGTGAAGGAACATTTCATATATATTGATTAAAAATAAGAATTTGAAAGTTTTTCTTTACATTGATTGGTAACTTACTGCCAAACAATAGGAAGTCATCAAGCAATGTTTTGGATTACCTGGTCAAATAGACTTCTCTGAAAAAATTTTTGAATTTGTTATTATCTCTGCAACACCTTGTTTCTTTGAAAAAATTATAAGGTGAGTGTTTGTATTTATATGTTTGAAGTGGAATTAATTGCATGTAATAGTTTTATTTTTCTCACTGTGAAAAAGAGAATTCAAAATATAGTTATTGAAGTTACGTTTTTTTTTTTTTTAAGCATCATAGCATAATAAAGTACTGAGATAAGGGGGTGTTTATTCACTGGATCACCAAACGATGAAAAACCAGTGAAGGAACAAGTGTTCCTTTACTGGTTTTTTTTCTAAGTTAATGAAAATAAAAGATAAACTTTAATTTTCTTGTACCTTTAGTGATGTTCCGCATCAAAAGTATGTTAAAAATACGAAAAACAACTTCTAACCAGTGAGGGAACAGGCATGTTCCTTTACTGGGCATAGATTTCCCAGGGAATGAACAGTATGTGTTAATATGTTGACACTTTAATTTTCAATTCATGATTACAAAAAAAGTTAACATTTTCCAAGTATTTATATGTTATATTTTCAAGAATAGGCTTGTTTTTAAATACGTGTATGACTTATAAATTCATAAAGAGCTTTAAAAAATAACCAAAATTAAATGTTCCTTTACTAAGTGTTCATTCACTGGTAAGAGCTGTTCCTTCACTTGGTCTTCTTACTACTTGTTATTTGA